GAACAGCCGGAGAAGACAACGATTTTCGTGAGTTGGTTGGAGAGCTTGGCGGACTGCCTTTAGCTCTTGATCAAGCTGCTGCTTATATCAGATCCCTTCGCCAGCCTATCAAAGAATATCTGAAGAAGTATAGAAAACAAAAGATGCTTCTCTTGAAGAAGAAGAAGGCTCGTAATCCGGTGGAAAATACATCACCTGAGAGATTGGCAGTTCACACAACATGGTCGTTAAATTTTGAGTACGTCATGCAAATGTCAGAAGAGATGGATCTTGGAGAAACCCCCTCAATTGTCATGAAAATGTCTGCCTACCTAGGTCCCGATGATATTCCTTATCAGGTTATAAACGAAGGGCTCCACGTTGTAGGAACTTCTGGCCAGGAAGTAAGCGATTTGTGGGATGCAGCCGAGACAGTGTCGCTGCTTACAAAGTTTTCCCTTTTTCAAAGGTATGGGACAGATTCTTTCAGTGTTCATCGTCTGGTGCAAGACGTCATCCGAAGTGAGATTGAAAAGGACAAAACTGAAGTGCGTATACTTTGCTGTGCGGTGCACGCATTTAACCATGCATTAACAAAAACACGCTCGTCAGCGGAAGTCTGCCAAAGTTTCGTTGAAGATGCTGTTTTCAGCGTCGAGAATCCTCCTTCGTTACAACTGTGGGGCAAGCTGGCTTCGCACTCGACCTATTTGCAAGAGCATTTGCTTAGCTACCTGGCGAAACGTGAACATGATGTCGAAAGTTTGCGTACTTTGCTTTACACTGATGCAACTGTTCGTATCTTTAACGAAGCAGCGATATTTTTTAGTGTTTCGCAGGAGAAAGTGAAAGCTCAGGCAATGCAAAAAAAGAAACTAGAGCTCTTAGTACACCTTGAAAAGCTATCTCCTGAGGAAGATTGCAACTTGCCGCATTATTTTGTTGATGTACCTTTAAAAGACAAGGACTACAAGGTGATAACTTGTTGTATGAGAAATCCTCCCTCTGAAAATGAGGCTGTGGCTGAAGATAACGAAAGGAAGAAGGAAGCCGACCAACTCAGAGAAAAAGGAAACAATGCATTTAAAAATAGCAAGTTCAAAGAAGCACTGGATCTTTATACAAGAGCCATTGATTTGTGGCCTAATGACCACAGCTTTTTTTGTAACAGGGTCCTCTGCCATTTGAAACTGGGAAATCCAAGAAATGCTCTGAAAGATTGTCAGAAATGCCTTTATCTAAAACCTGATTACAGCAAAGCACTTCAACGAAAAGCTTGGGCCCTGCTAGAACTTGTTAAAGGTGGAAATAGTGAGCTTGAAGGGCAGAAACGTGCGGCAGTGGCAGTTGCCCTTCACTTCGATCCCACTCTTCGCCAAGACAAAACATTTTCTCAGATGTTTCCTGAAGTACCAGTTATTCGCATCAGAGAGATATACAATGAAAAGCAGCTAGCGTTTGCTTTGATGACGACTCGAAGAAACGAAACCTTGTTGTTACACGAAAGAGAGTACCATCTTAGTGCCTTTGGAATTGTAAATGACCTTCAGATTGTAGGTCTCGGACCCCACACTTACTTAAATTGTGCAAAGCTTTGCAAAATTAATAACGCCAAATGCTATTTTGAAAATATTGTGTTTCCTAGAGGGAATGTTGCTCTAATCTGCTGTGGAAACAATGGCGCTGTACACTTAAATCAGTGTGAGATTTCAGGAGGAGAGACAAGTTGTGAGGGCTTTCCAGAATGTAACGGAGGTCCAGGCTGCGTGGCGCCCTCTTCAGGGAAACCTGCCTGGGATCAGACAGGAAGGTTTGGTCATTCAATGTCTGGCATAGTTGGCTTTCCCGGAGTCGACATTTCACACGAGAGCTCTGGATTGATTGAAAACTGTGTAATTCATAGGTGTGGGGGTGGAGGTGCCCTTGTTTGTGGGAAAGGTTCTCGACTAGTAGTTAAAAACTGTGAAGTACACAAGAACCACCAAGCTGGATTAGAGGCAAGGGAAGGAGGAGAACTTGAAGCTCTTGGAAACAAGATATTCGACAATGGTGATCACGGCATTCTGATTTGGAAGCTCGCTGGGAAATGTGACCTCAACGACAATAAGATTTTTGAAAATGCAAAGGAAGGCATTATTGTTGTCGATTCAAAAGAGAAGATCACCCTACGCAACAACAGTATCCATCACAACAGACCCTTTGGTATTTCCCTTGATCATGACAATTCTCAAGTTCTTATTAGCAACAATGAGATTTTCGAGAATGGATTCTGGGGCATCCTCGCTAAAGGGCGAACATCGGCATTCATAGTAGGAAACAAACTCACTGGTAACAAGTGTGGAGGAATTTTTATTGGTGTCAATTATTCTGGAAGGGTTCATCTAGAGAGAAATACTGTAAGAGATCACAGTGGCCCTTGGCTTGAGTATCAATTCAAAAACGGTGGCGCGACTATTGATGGCAGTTTATCTGAAGTCAAAGAGGCTGATGCTCTGGGTTTTATGCTTCCGGAGGGTGAAACGCATTTTTATTCAAAGCCTCCCATTCTAAAAGAAAATAAACATTTTAACAATGAGGAAGGTTTGTATCATCCCAGAGAGCTGGTTGAACGACTTAGCAATGGCTGCACTTATTGTCATCGTCAAAGAGACAAAACAGTGCGGTTTTTGAAGTGCGCAGGATGTCGCATTGCATCATACTGCAGTAAGGAATGCCGGCGCAACCATAGACCTAAGCATGAGACATTATGTTTCGCTCTTAAAACTCGTTATGCTGTGGAAGTTGACCGTATTCCCTCTACTATGCCAGAATTTGTAGTAATGCTGCGGATGTTTGGCTCTCACTTAGTGGGAATTGGAGAGGGTCCAAAACCAGAACCTAACAGGGAGTTCATCGTCAAAATTCAAACACAAGATCTTAACAGTCACCCACTGCAGATGATGAGGCTTTACGACCAAAGTGTCACCACAGATTGCCTAATACAAAGTCCAGAAATCTTCAACGTGATAATGGACTGTGGCGTTCTTGGAGCTTTATACAAGTTTACAAGTAAGAAATGTTTTTTCTGGGCCATGTTTACTGAGCCTGGAGGAAAACTGACAATTTATCTTGATCATTTGGCTCCTTATCAGAAGTGGTAAAGGTCTGAGTGTAATTTGAATATCAGAGCTTCTCGGTACAATAAATACCCCAAAGATTTTAACTACTGCATCTTTTTTTGAGGGCTCAAGCAGTTACCAATAGTTGTCATTTTGACCAATACTATTTCAAACACACAGTCAAAACCCTTAGGTTTAGGTTTTTCGGTAATCAGACTTGAAAATAACTTTTATTTTTTCAAATAAGATTCTTAGTAATTATTAAATAAATGCATAGAGTATATGATAAGTAATTATTTCTCTATTTTTCAGTGCAATGTTAAAGTGGAAAGACAGACTTACTGTCCAATGCCATGTGTTAAAAAATCAAACTTAAATGTTTGATGGTCAATCAACAATTAAACAAGTGGCACAGATCATTGAATGTTGTCCTTCAGTAGCATTTTAGATAATTAAGCAGGCAAAAGTTCAAATGAGGCCTGAAACTACAGTAAAATTGGTGTTAAAATCTTTTAAAAATCCAAGCTTTTGCCAGTCTATGGCATCATCATCAAGAGGCACAGAAGTTAACACATCACTCTTCACCTTGGTTTTTGTGATGACTGTGGTTCTGTCACCTAGGGACGTCCAGATTTCTTGGTAGTGGTGCAAGAAGGTTTATGATTTTTCCAATCTGCTTTTTGACACTCCCTTGGTAAAAATGTGAAAGAAGAATTAGTATCCATGTCAAAACATAATGCCTCAAACTGTGCCCAGCCAATCTAGAGAACTAAAATATAATGGGACATGAGGATATAAATCAAATTAAATCAATAAAAAAAGATTAACTTTAATTGTGTGTTTTAAGATGTATGCAGTCAAAAGTCACTAGAAGTCTTATTCTTGAATTTTTGTGATTACAACTTGCACTTAGGTTGTTCATTTACCTTGAAACTCAAAAAATCACAAACACTTTGAATTGCTTTTGACCAATTACAACAATAATCAAGACAAACAGGCAGATTTCAAAATGACAAATTAATGAGCATTTCAGTTTGTGGCTTTGTTTCCTCATGCTTATGTAACTTTTTCCTAGAAACACAACACCATTATAACATTTTGAGTGTGAACAATTTTCTGAGTTTTAGAGTGACAGGTGCCAGCTGATTCATCTTAGAATTGACTAAAATATTCTCTTTGAACAAATAGTCCCTGATTGATAAGAAATTCTGGACTATAGAACAAATAACAACAACAACAACAACAGTAAAAGCCCCCTCCCCACAAAAAAAAATATAGAAGAAAAAAAAAGGATGAAAAATAAATTAATTCCATGGCAGCAACTTAAAGGGTGTCATCTTTTAATGTCAGCTTAACACTGGTAGGAGATGTGGTGGCATTATGGTTGGCACACTGAACTCTGCATCAAGAGATCTGAGATCAAGTCCTAGCCAGGTCATTGTGTTCTGTATTTAGGTATGACCCTTACCCACCTACACTGACCTGTCACTGCATCTCTCTCCACCCAAGATTTTAATTGGGTCAAGAAAGCCTGACAAAAATCTGGCCTGAAATCCCCCATCCAGGGGAAGTAGTTATAAAGCCTTTGCATTCTTGTGGTAAGCAGCTATGTAAATTTTTAAAACAGAGGAAAGTGTTTATGTTGGAAAGGCTTTTCAGTCTTGTAGGATTGATATGGTTCACCAACATGGTCACCATTTTAATGTTTTGGCTCACTTATTTGACAGCTGTGACAATGTGGAAATGATCTTAACATCAAGTTGCTCTGTGGTACAGAACACAGGATAATAATCTTTACCTGAGAATTAAGAAATTTCGCTCCTGCCTCAAGACCTAAAAACAGCTGCCTTAAGATCTAAAAACAGCAAATTAAAATAAAAAGCCAACTGAAGTTAAAAGAATAAACAATTCAAGTGAAGGTACGTACTTGCTGCAGTATTTTTGCATACCACACTGACCACAAGATTTTAAGTCACTCTCTTTGACATTTTTGGTGCATGCCCTGTTTCCACACATTGCTTTTATTTCCACATTAGCAAGAAGTTGGTAGACAGGTGCCATCTCATCCTTTAATGGCAGGTCAACATTTTTGAAGAAAGGAAGCCTTTTTTCTTCAGCATCTTGTCCCAGTTCAAAATACTTCCTGAATTCATCCATGTTTCTTTCTAGCAGATAAATTTTTGCCAGGTAGTAACAAACATTTGGGTATGTCTTGCAGCAGTGTGGGGCCTCTACAAGATACTCCTTTAAAACCTTCACTGCTGTGTCTCTTAATTTTTCAGCGATCCAGGAATCATATTTGGAAATTTCTCTCTTATGTGGTTGTTGATTGTAAAGTCTGAGCAACTCTCTGGGTAATTGATGGCTTGCATCTTCTCTTTCAGTGAACTTTTTGGAAGCATACAGCAACATCATTGTATAACCCAGAACTCTTTTAGCCTCATAGTATGACGGGCAGCACTTGACAGAGTTCTGAGAAGCCTCTGCAGCAAGTTCAGTAGCTCCTGAAATTATGCAAATGGATGCTAAATGATAATACAAGACATGAAGCCAGCTGCTGTAGTTCTTATCAAACTCAAATGGGTCTTCACATGGAGAGCTGTTGGGTTCTGCCTTATGGACAAAACTGATCAAGTTCATTATACAAAATTTTACTTGGTTGTCAGTTTTTGAATTTTCTTCTGAACATTTCCCCCTTTTGAAATCCCACAAAGCATAGGACAAAAGGAGTCCCTCCAAGAAGCAAGGATTCTTTATTAAAATTTCCTCACAAAGCTGGAGAATATTGGGTGACAAAATAGGAAATGCTTGAATTATAGAGTTTTCAGTCAAGAATCCATAGGCCATAAGAGTAATTCCTCTCTCATCAGTGAAGTTACTACTGTAAAGAATATCAAGGCCCTCTTTCACCAGTTTGTAAGCTCGGAGGTGAATTCTTGCTGTTGGGGACCACTCATATTGTTGAAGCATTTCTTCTGAAAAAGCCACAGGTTGATAAATAGCTAATAGGTGTTTATCTGCATCATTTCTTTGCCTCAGTTTTTCTCTCATAACATCAGATGATTGTTCAAATGCCTCCTCTGACACTTCTGACATGTCATGCTTCATGTCATAACTCCCTGGGCACTGCTGAAGAAGCTAATCAATGAAACAAAATTAATAAAAGGTTTATATCTGTTATTGAGGTATTATGCCACCCATAAATTACAGAAATAGATTCATTTATTTATAATAGTGGCAACCATATCACATCCTACCATCCAAAATGGCACCTTGGGAGAATTCAAACATCAACATTGTTGTATTTGTTGCCATTTTTGGCAAAATTCAGTGCTTTGTTGTAAAGAATCTTTATATCTTCATCATGTGAACTGCAACTTGAGAAAGTAGTGCAAGCTTCCTTTGAGGTGTACCCATTCCGGTATCCAGTCAAGTCGCCGACGGTTCAACTCGCCAACGCCAACTCGCCGACGTGTAAAATCGAGTAGAGACGTCGGCGAGTTGGTCTTCAATCCAGTACAACTTATTAGAAGATAGACGTACAGAAAATTAAATGATATTTAGTGAAAAAAATTTTTTTTTTTCTTCCAACAAAGTTTATAAGGATCTCATGGCGAATAAAGCAAGGTAAACATTGTCAATGAATATAAAAGCTTCAGACGCGAACGAGATATTGTGTGACAATACTGTAAAGACTCATCATATCAGTCGATCAGATTATTTTAAGAAAACTTGGCTTTCCAGACAAGATCTTTAGTAAAAAAACAATTATTTTTATTTCCAACAAAGTTTATAAAGATCTCAAGGCGAAGAAAGCAAGGTAAACATCGCCAATGACCGAAAAAGCTTTATACGCGAACGAGTTATTGTGTGACAACAACACTGTAAAGACTCATCATGTCAATCGGTCAGATTTTTTTAAAAAAACTTGGCTTTCTAGATAAGATCTTAAGTAAAAAAAAATTCTTTTTTTTTCCGACAAAGTTTATAAGGATCTCAAGGCGAATAAAGCAAGTTAAACATCGCCATTAACCATAAAAGGTTTAGACGCGAACGAGTTATTGTGTGACAACAACACTGTAAAGACTTATCATGTCACTCGGTCAGGTTTTCTACAAAAAAAAACTTGACTTTCTAGACAAGATCTTTAGTAAAAAAACAATTCTTTTTATTTCCAACAAAGTTTATAGGGATTTAAAAAGTAGTGCAAGCTTCCTTTGAGGTGTACCCATTCCCACAGCAACAACAAAATCAGACACTTCATTTTATCAGGGTACATAATTCCGATTTTAGATTGTATTCGCCCTTTCAATACTTTTGGGCTCAAAGAAATAATAGGAAGGTAAAAAAGACAACAACAACAACAGAAAAAATTGTTTACAAAAAATACAACAACCTCACTGAAAAAAAAATCTGTAAGAAGCACAGGCTAAGAGGATTAACTTCAAAAGATGCCTGTCTGTAAATTTCTACACATTAAAAGAAGATTCTTAACACCAACCTCTTTAGCCTCGACATCACCGCTAGCAGAAGCTTTTCCAAGCCACCGTTTCGCCTTCCTTAAGTCCCTAATCTGCTCACAACTTCCTTCCAGATATATCTGTCCAAGTTTCCGCTGGGCCTCAGTGTTTCCTAGTTCCGCGGCTCTGGTCAAATAGTGAACAGCTTTCGTTGGTTGCGGTTTTCCTTCTGGGCAATCACCTAGAAGATAGTACTTGTACAAAGATGTCAAAGCTATTTGTCGAAGGTCATCATGAGAATTCTCAATCTTGTTCATAGTTCCAGCAATAAGGAGACCTAAAGATCCCACCTCTGTGGTATCTTCGACTGTACTTTCCCCTGCTGCCTTTTTGTACCATTCAAACGCTTCTTTGATATCTTCGTCTACAACCCCTTCAACTCCACATCGATACATTTCAGCCAAATTAAACTGCGCAGATGTACTTCCCAGACGCGCTGCCTTTTGATACAAATCGTACGCTTTTCGCTGGTTGTGTGGCTCTCCTGTGAAATCCAGCAATTGACCAAGTTCTTTCATTACCGAGGGAATAATGCAACCATTTTGGACAGCTGTGTCTAGCCAGCCAATAGCTTTCTTGGTGTCCTTCTCCACGAATCCTTCGATACCTGTAGCATAAGCGGCACCAAGGTGAATTTGGCAGCGTACTTCACCCTTCTTGGCTCGAGCGATTAAAACATCTACTGAACCATACGATTCTTTAAAATAATTTTTCAGATCAAAGTCTTCTGCGTTGAAATATTCCATGTTCGAATGCAGTCGAAATAATTCGTAAACCGAAAGCTTAGTAGGACTTCCGGTATGCGAGTGAAATTTATTGGTACGTCATATATCAAACATTATAGTATGCCAAAGGTTATTTGGTAGGTACGTCATGTAGGGGCCATTATTATGTCCTCAATACACGTTGCGTCCTATACTTTAAATACATGTAATGTACTTCACATACAATACCCTGCACACACATACAGGGCTAAACAAGGCTAGATACAGCTATACACAGCTCCACAGGGCTATACAAGGCTAAACGCAGCTATACAGAGCTGTGCACAGCTATACAGAGCTATACACAGCTCTACAGGGCTATACACAGCTATACAGGACTATACAGGGCTATACACAGCTTTACAGTGTTATACACAGCTATACAGTGCTATATACAGCCATACAGGGATATACACACCTATAAAGGGCTATACACAGTTATATTGAGCTGTACAGAGCTATACAGAGCTATAGGCACCTATACAGGGCTATATACAGCTATACAGGGCTATACGCAGCTGTAGAGAGCTATACACAGCTAGACAGGGCAATCCACAGGGCAATCCACAGCTATACACGGTTATGCAGACGGCTATACCTTTCATCGCCACAACAACACATGAAGCAACTTGAAATTTCTCATGCAGAGGACTTCATGGACACGCGGAGTAACATAAATTTTCCGGGACCCGTAGAGCGACTTAAAACCCGGAGTGTCGTAGATTATATCATCCAAAGAGTTCTACATCTCCAAGATTTTATAGACACCTTTACGGAAGATGTAAAAACAAAACGGTAGATATCCTGACTTTCCTTTGGTCCACCAGTTTAAAAACTGAAAAGTTTATAGAAGTAGAGATAAAGATGAATTCTTTGGAATTAGACTTAACTGCTCAACACATGAATAATTTGATGAGGAATCTTTCGGGTTTTAACCTTTAAGTTGACAAGATCGAAAGAGATGGGAACTGTTTTTTCAGAGCAGTTGCCTCACAGCTCAATAGATACTCGAGGGAATACAGGGAACATATTGAAGAGCACTGCACTTCCCTTGGATTAGGAATTAGTGAAGCTTTCGACACACGTAGACTTAGGGAGCTGAAGAAGTCTCTGATAACATTGAAGAGTACAGAGAATGAATGACAACTGGCGTTAATGGGTTAGAAGACGTTTACAAATTTAGCCAAGACGGCTGAAGTTGGTGATTTATGTGCGAGAGCAACGGCTAAAGTCTTGAAAATCCAGTTGTGATTGTTGCCGCTCTCCCTTCAACACCTACGGTACCATTCCTACAACACGAGTTCCTTACCACCACACCCATCTACATTTCATACGATCATTCTGGGCCAGGCCACTATGATGTTACAAAAGGTACTTAATAACTGTTCAATAACCCAAGGTTAAATAAGCAGTTGTAAATTCTGATAATGCTACATACCTCCTCATATATCGAGGTTTGAACTGAGAATTTTTCGAGATCCTCCCGATGTCTTGGCACCTTTATTAGGTTGAATTCTTGTACTAGTACTAAGTTGTAAATACTTACGTTCATGAAATTGAGCCGGAAATCATTTAATGGAGAAAATTATGTTTTCTTCATTTGTGCTAAAACAAATTCTGTAAATCGAGGTTATTTCAGATATAAGTAATAACTATTTACCAAAGTGGAGGTGGCTAGAAGCAGATATTTAACGAGCCGCGAAGCGGCTTGGCAAATATTCATTAATAGCCACGACACGGAGGTGAATAGCTGTTTTTAGTACACACTAAATCAGTGAGATAATATAGCACAAAAAGATGATTTTAGTCAATTTATTCCTGCACGTGCGGGAGCGTGAAACTCGCGAGTTGCTCGGAGGTAAATAGCAAAGGATATTCGGAGTTTGAGTAGCCTACCAGAGCGCACCTTCTACGCTATCCACTACTTTAGTATATACTAATGAGCTTTAACTTGTCGAAACCTTGTCGAAGACCATTGTATGAATTCTTGACAAAGAAAGAACAGGTTACATGCTACAAGAAGACTTAAGAAGACAGTCTGAATTTGCTTCAATTTCTGCCATTTGAATTGACAACTTTTTTAACAACTTTATTTGGTCTATAATATAGTACTGACTACACCTCTAGCTTATAGCACGAACAAGTTCTGACTAGTATCTACGTGAAGGGCCAGTCAATGTCAAAGGACGCTCTCCGGCAGTCAAAAAGTGTTTATTTGACGAAAAGCTGGAAGGAGAGCGGAGTCGAAAAACTAGAGGAAGGAGCAATAGAACAAGAGTAATTCTAAAGTTTCACAATGCGATTGAAGAAGGAGGCCTGAAAGTGCTCGTTTCTCAGATTGGTGTTTTTAAATTAAAGGAGTTGCTTAGTCTAGTACGGCCGTGAGAAATAAAGTTTGTGAAACTACATACATCAAGGTGAATATGATTAAAGAAGCACTTATAAAAGAATACCAAGTCTTTCACTTCTCTGTCGTAGGTAAGAGGGAGTAAGTCCAGGGTAATAAGTCTATCCCTATAGGATATCTCGCCAATCCGGGTTGGTAAGATCCATCTGGTAACGCACCGCTGCACTCGCTCGACTTGTGCCTTTAGGGAAACCTGAGCCGGCGACCAGACTTGAGTAGCGTAGCAGAGTTGTGACTTGACTAGCGATAAGTATGGCGCGCGCCGGGTAGACACGTCAGTTAGTAATGGACATGTCTGCCTTAGGAGCCCAAGGACCTTGTTGTCTTAAGTGGTGATGGTGTATATATAAGAGTGCCAAGACAACGTACCCGTAATTGTAACTCCTAGATTTTTTTCCGCGGACACTCGCACAAGTTGTGTTTTGTTTAGGGTGTATTCGTAAATCAAGGGAGTTTTCATCCGCGTCACAGTAAGCGTTGTACATTTCTAGGTGTTGAAGTTGATGTTATTTCCCTTTGACCAGTCATTCACGTTTGCTAGAGTGGTCTGCAGAGACAGGCAATCGCTGACGGAGCCAACGTTTTATGCAGCTTGGTGTCATCAGCGTATAACGCTGCCCTCATCCCGCCTACAGTTTCACACGGGAGATCGTTAATAAAGATCGTGAACAATAATGGCTCTAACAGGCTCCCTTGCAGGACGCCAGAAGTAACCGGGGCCCATTGCGATGCAGCGCCGTCCAAAACTACCCTACTACGGCCTATTTCGGAGTAAGAATTTAAAAGAAAATTAAGAAAATTCATTTTACAGCATTTTTATACTTATTAGATGACAAACTGATCCTTAATTTCAAATTGCCAATTGAATCGTTACAGCAATTGAAAAACGATTTCGATCACAAACGTTCAATAGAATAGCAACGGGAACTCAAAAGCCCTGTATAGGTGTGTATAGCTCTGTTTATCTGTGTATAGCTCTGTATAGCTGTGCATAGCCCTGTATAGCCGTGTATAGCTGTGTATAGCCCTGTATAGCCCTGTATGGCAGTGTATAGCTGTGATCAGCCCTGTGTAACCGTGTATAGCTGTGTAAAGCCATGTGTAGCTGTGTATAGCCCTGTATAGCCCTGTATAGGTGTGTATTGCCCTCTATTGCTGTGTATAGCTGTATATAGCCCTGTATAGCTGTTTATAGTCTTGTATAGCTGTGTATAACTCTGTATAGCCGTGTATAGCCATGTATAGCTGTGTATAGTTCTGTATAGCCCTGTCTAGCTGTGTATAGCCTTGTATAGCTGTGAATAGTCCTGTATAACTATGTATAGCCTTGTATAGCTGTGTATAGAACTGTATAGCTGTGTATAGCCCTTTATAGCTGTATATTGTCCTGTAGAGCTGTGTATAGCTGTGTATAGTTCTGTAGAGCTGTTTATATCTCTGTATATAATAGCTGTGTATAGCCCTGTATAGCTGTGTGTAGCTCTGTATATCTGTGTATAACCCTGTATAGCTTTGTATAGCCCTGCATAGCTGTGTATTGCCCTGTACAGCTGTGTATAGCTCTGTATATTTGTGTATAGCCCTGTATATTTGTGTATAGCCCTGTATAGCTGTGTATAGCTCTGTATAGCCCTGTATAGCTGTGTATATCTCTGTATAGCTGTGTATAGCCTTGTACAGCTGTGTATAGCCCTGTAGAGCTGTGTATAGCTCTGTATAGCCCTTTATAGCTGTTTATAGCTGTGAACAGCCCTGTATAGCTGTGTATAGCCCTGTATAGTTGTGTATGTCTCTGTATAGCTGTGTATAGCCCTGCACAGCTGTGTAGAGCTCTGCATAGCTCTGTATGGGTGCATGAGTATAGCTGTGCACAGCCCTTTATCACTATGCATAGCCCTGTATAGCTGTTTATATCTCTGTATAGCTGTGTATACCATGTATAGCTGTGTGTAGCTCTGTATAGTTGTGTATAGCCCTGTATGGCTGTGTATAGCCCTGTACAGCAGTTTATAGCTGTGTATAGCTCTGTATAGCTGTGTATAGCTCTGTATAGCTGTGTATAGCCCTGTACAGCTGTGTATAGCCCTGTACAGCTGTTTATAGCTGTGTATAGCTGTGTATAGCTGTGTATAGCTCTGTATAGCTCTGTATAGCCCTGTATAGCTGTGTATAGCCCTGTACAGCTCTGCTTAACTCTGTATGGGTGAGTATAGCTATGTATATCACTGAATAGCTGTGTATAGCTCTGTAGAGCTGTTTATATCTCTGTATAGCTGTGTTTAGCCCTGTATAGCTATGTATAGCCCTGTATAGCTGTGTGTAGCTCTGTATAGCTGTGTATAACCCTCTATAGCTTTGTTTAGCCCTATATAGCTGTATATTGCCCTGTACAGCTGTGTATAGCTCTTTATATTTGTGTATAGCCCTGTATAGCTGTGTATAGCTCTGTATAGCTGTGTATAGCCCTGTATAGCTGTGTATATCTCTGTATAGCTGTGTATAGCCTGGTACAGCTGTGTGTAGCTCTGTATAGCCCTGTATAGCTGTGTATAGCCCTGTATAGTTGTGTATATCT